CAAGTCAAGCAGCTGGGTCAGTGAGCTCCCTGCTTTGTTCATCAGCAGGCTTGGGGTGAGAAGACAGGGATGAGGAAGAGCAGCAACATGGGTCGCCAATCAGGGTGAGCCTCAGCTCTGGTGACAGGGTTCAACAAAGCCAGCCAATCATTTCCAGCCCCGACCAGAAGACATCCTGTGGGTTGGGGCCCACTGCCAGGCACGGCTGCTGTGCAGGTGGGGCTGCTGCTCAGGCCAGGCTGAATGTAAGAGTTTCAGCTTAAATGCAGCTCCTGCAGGAAGAGATGTCGGCCTGGGCTGGGGACACCCTGCAGAGCTGTCTGGCGGCTCCCCAGGGTCACTGAGAAAGGAGGAGCAGTTCAGCTGTGCCAGTCACGAAGCTGGCCCCAAGCCCAGGCAAAGCCCTGGAAGGGGGATGCGATTAGGCACCATGCAGTCATCTAAGATTCTCGAGGTGCTGCTACCCTTTTTTCTCTGCTTCCTAGAAAAGTACATTAGCAGATGGTAGCCACTTGAAGGTCTGCAAATATAAGTGACGTCTAACTTTTCATCTTTTACAGCTTTAAATCTCGCTTATGGTCCACCTAGTAAGTAAAACTGCTACGACAACTCAATTATCAGTTTCCTTGGGATCTCTTACTTTGGTCCAGGAAATGTACGCTCTCATTTTTCACACCGATTTATTTTCCTTAGCATGGAAACTTAATTCCTCAGACCTAGAGTATGTTTTGCCTGCTCCAGGTATGAAAATGTCCCATTTGTCTGGTGTTTGAAGTGTGACAGACACTAAGAATATTGGATGCTGTCTAGGTTTTCATGACTAAGTGAGATTAGATATTGAATACTGCCAGATTCTTGTATTATCCAAAAAGCATTATTTAAACATTTTTTTCCTACTTCAGGCCTGGTTGCCTGACTAGGCAATGTAGTTTTCTTTCTTCTCATGGGAGTACCGGAGAAAAATCTTTCATGGTTTTCATGGTTTGGAATGACAGGGTTTTGGTGGGGGAGGTGAAAGAGAGGGAAGCAGCAGTTTCTTTGTACTCAGCAATTCAGCGATCTGGGATAAAATTTTCATTCAAGCCTTTGGCAAGGTTCCCAACAATTTAGTAGGATATGAGTTTCATACGCAGCGTGTACTTATTCTGTTATTACTGAGGATGTACTTTTTGAGAAAAAAATAGTAGTTTTCTAATAAACTGTAATTAGAAATGGTATTGCAAGAGAAGGAGAAGATTTGGCTTTTGTAATAAAAAGAAAACAATCATCACTTTATATTTCCAGTGCTTGTATGAGTTGAGAACTATTTACTTGATGCAGTTAGCCAGATGTAAGGTTTGCAGCATTATTTGTTGACGAAAGTCCTTCCCAAAGTGATGCAGACTGCGTACGTAAGTTGCCCAGAAAGTAATGTCTCCTATTTATTTCCATGGAAACAAGAACAGATACAAAGAGCGCAATAACACTGATAGAGCAAATTCTCAGCTACGAAACACTATTTTTCAGCATATTCACAACATTGGCCAATTTGTGGGGATGAGCTGATCGAGATGCTCTTCATTTTGTGATATGACTGCTGTGTCAGCCTGTTTGGAACGTGGCTTGTCTTTCATGTTGCTGTCACCACTGCAGAAATGCACCATCCACCACCTCACTGTGCTCTCATTTACTGTTTGGTCTCCCTACATGTTCAGCAATTGATGATGAATGTCAAGGGGTGCCATTTTTTCTGCATGGAGGAATTCAGTGGCACACCTTTGCTTGGTAACGCGCTTCCATGTCAGACACTGTTTTGTTGGGCTGCCCCTCTACTGCCATGTTTGCATGGCAACAACACATAACAGAATATTGGTGGAAGGTTCAAACTCTACTGCCATAAAACCAGCATCTGCCTCTGACTTGTTAGGCCAGCATAATAAAATAGGAGGCAGTAGTTTCAAAGCCCTTGTACATAACGCTATCACTTACTGGGTGAATGATTATGAAGCCTTTTTCATAAATATATTAGATTTATAAAACCATCAGACATTACTTTGCATCATATAAGTGATGTATACAGTGGGTATAATAAAATCATATAGACTTTTCACAGTTTTTATGACGATTTATATACAGCCATGCACCAGACAATGTTTCAGGAATGTAGTCCTTGAAACATCCCATTCTCATCTGTCAATTTAAAGCTATATTAATATGGTTATCTGGAGCATGCATGCATGTAATGCAACAATAATGCAAGTGCAAATAAGTACGAAATGTGTCTGGAGAGAAATGCTTTAACAATGCAAGCAAATAATGAATAAATGTAAGATTTCCCTAACCCCTCCATTATAATTAAGAACTGATATTGCTTTTATTTTCATTTTTAGTATCTTTGATACATAAATAAAATGCTTTTACCATGTAGAGAGTGCTTTTCTTGAGAAATCACACAGGATGTGCAATTATAGAAGTAAAAAGAATAATATAAATTTAAATATGTAAATTTAAATAGAATATTAAAATAAATCTTTTGAACAACTACTGAAAAAGTATAAAAAAAAAAATATGTGCTTGTCAAGTATGCAGTATAAATAAGTAAAATTAAAATGGATGACTAGATAGGTATAACAAAGAGGCAACCAAATAATGAACGTCTAAAGAATGGTTGTTACATCTGATGTACTTCATTGTATACTGTAAGTAATTGCTATCCATAAAAAATTCCATGGCTTCTGTATAAGAGATAATTTGACAGGCAACACCAGTACTAAGCGACAGCAAGTACAAATCCTTGGCAACTGTCATCCTGCTGTTGAATTCACATCTAAAACTGTGTGATAACTTTGACCTGTGTAGCTGTTACTGAACCAATATCTGTTCAAGTATATTTTTCAGTTATGGAAAAAAATGTTGGCAAGGAGCAAATCAATTTCTTGAAAAACCATATGGACTTTTCTTTAGTATACTGTTGTTTTCTATTTAAAGAAGAAATAAGACAAAATGCACTGCAGTTTGGTAATACTGAATAATTGTAAAATTCCTATAGAGAAGAAAAATAAAAATTTTGATCTCTTACAGATTAAAAAAAAAATAAATCAGCAGCTAGGTAGTAAAATTTTCTGTTGTAGTCATTACAAAATGTATTCACTGATTTGTCCATGAATAAACAGTGGTTTAATTGCTTGTAAATGGGACAAAAAGTTGTTAGATCTCTTCAGCTTTTTAGCTTTTTTTTTGTTTTGTTTAGTTAGTTATTTGTTACTTTTTCATTTAATATCCTGCTTAAATTTCTGTTAACCTTTTCTCCTTGTATCTCTATCTGAGCATTTTTTCTTGAGCCATAAAAATAAGGACCCTCATGTTAGCTTAAATTCACTTCAGTTGGGTAGAAATTTTGGTTAATTAAGGAGTGCCAAGCCATTTTTCCTGGCTATTAAGCACCATTTCATAACAAGTTTTTTATGAGATTTCCGCATATTAAGTCCTTCATTTTATTATGTTTAATCTTCAGAAGGATGCACACCAGTGTTATGTCTAATTTTGGGTTTTCTCAAGGTATGAAACAGCTCAGCTGTTATAAATACAGAGAATAAAATTTCTCTTAATAATTGCGTGCTTCTGTTTTCTCTTTGAAATCATCTCAGTTAGGGTGTTGGAGTTATTCTTGGGTACCCTAAGATTTACATACACTGTGTGTTTAAATAATAGCTATGATAGTAATTGTTAAGAAAAAGCTGAACAAGGACTGAGGAACAGGATAGAAACATCTACAGTAATCCTGTAGATATTTTCTTTGCATTTACTCTCATTTAGTAGAAGGAACTTTAACAATACATAAAGTCATAGCCTTTGGCTGCACTAGACCAGTTACGTAAAGGTTTACTTGACACATATAAATAACATAATCTGTAGGTAATACCAACTGTAATGTTAAAATTCTGTCAATGTAGTAGGTGCAGTAGTTAAGGTTAAAAAGAAGGAAGCTATCTATTGAATGAAAAAAAGACAGCTAATAGATTTCATTGTAAAAACAAATTTTCCTTTGGTTTTGTAGTTGTTTTTCTGCTGTTTAAATGTGTAACAAAACAGTCTTTTAAGAAAAATGGATTTTACAAAAACAAGTCCCTCCTGCTGTCACTAGTCAGAATTTGAAACATAGCATAATACATTTAGTTATAATACTAAAATAATTTTTTTGATTGAACTCAAATGTTTGGTATTCCAGCGATTGTGGTATTTTATTTAGTATAAGGATTTCTGTGCAATGCATGCAGACAAATTTGGAAGTTCATGCTTCTTTGACATCTTTTATATGTCCTAAAAAGAGAATATTCTGACAGTTAAGAATTACTTGAATATGAAAGGAGATAGAGGTCTTGATCTCATCCTATTTCTTTCTGTCTTCTTTATCTTTGATACTGCTGTTGGCACAGTTACGCTGGTGGTGATTCGGATCTTCTAAAGATAGGATAAAGTGAGACTGCATGATCTTCATATGGGTCAATATTCCATCCAGGTCTTTGAACTGTAGTCTATAGTAATTTTTTTTTACCATTGATAGTAGCCTCAAGTTTAAAGTTTGAGGGCTTTTTTTCTCATTATTTTAAATGCTTCTAAAAAATTACATATTTCTATGATATAATTTTATATTCATTTTATATGAAGGAAGGCTTGTACAGTGCTAGTGCAGTGTAGTATTGCTGATATACCTACTGAATTTCACCATCATCCTGTCTTACAACACAGTATACAATTTCCATTATGGTCCTGGCTTATGCAAAGATATTAATAATTCAGCTGAATTCTTAAGTAAATGAATTGATTTGGATTTGCAGAAGCAAGAATCAGGTGAAACTCCTAATACATTTTTATAAGGTATTCTCCAACTTTAATTAAGTTGTTGTGTGCTTTTCAGTGATTAAGTTTTTGGAACTCCTTATAATCAGTCATTAATAATGTAAACTAGTGAAAAAACAAAGTGTAGAATTTTGACTATATTTATTATATTTCTCTTCTAGGAAATGTCTCTGTTCCTATGCAAAAACAGCTCTTGAAAATACTAAAGAGAACCAAAGCTCTAGATAACTTATATTTGCCCATAACGTGTCTGCAGTGAGCAATTGTATCAAGAAGGTCAAAACTTCAAGATTGTTCTACACATCAAACAAAATCAGTTCAGAGCTGTGATGGTCTATCGGATATACAGACAGCTACAAATGAAGCTGTACAGGCAATTTCTGTCTTATAGTCTCATCCAAGAGAAATAGACCTCAAAGTGTTTCCACAGGTCAACTAAGGTAATCAAAGCTTTTCTCTGTTGCTTTTAATCTAATGTTTGATGCAGTTCGGTCACCTTGTACTGGTGATTCAGTTGATATTCTTAAACAGACCTTGGTAACTTTTATTAAGGTTTCTTGACCTAACAGGTTCTTAGAATACGTCTTTTAAAAAATGTATTGATTTTTATCAAATATTTCCAACAGACATTTCAGTTAGCCTTGAAAATTTTTAGCGTGCGTAGTAATAAGTGGTTAATATTTATCAGGTTGATTTTCTTTAAAGGAGAATGTGATTCTCCATAACGAATCCAAGAATGAGTGGATCCCATCTGGAAAATGCCAAGAACACAATTGAATTTTGGAATCTGCCACGAAGATGACTAAAGTGAAAAGCTTTTTCTCGTTAGTGTGTTCTGTTTTCAGTTGGAAAATTGGCACTAACCTAGGCAAATGTAAACAATTACAGTTAGCCCTTCAATTGTGTGCTGATGTGATCTCAGAGTACAAATGGCCTTAAATTTGTTATTAAGTGTTTTCTTATACTGCTGAATCCAAAACCACCGAGTTATATGTCATTGCTAATTTTGTATGATAAGATACGTATTGTAATATATTTGTCCCCACGTGTATGAAAGTTTTAAACTCTAGAACTCAAAAAGGTAATTTGTATTTACTTTTTAAAAGGGAGTAGATTCTGGGTTTTCTATTAACGTGATTGAGCACTCAATACAGAAGTAGCTACTCTAATTTGATGACATGATGTACTTTAGAAATACTTAAAGAAGACAAAAAGGCTTGGATTTTTATGCGGTCATTTTGACATTTAGGAAATGTGGAAATTATTAAATTGTTAAGATTGCCCGCATACCAGTATGTTTTAAGTGAACTATCAGTTCAGCATAACCTGAAATGAATGGGAGTATTGCCAAGGGTTTTCGTGGGAGAGAGATTAAAATCTTAGGCCTCAAACCAATTTTGAGTTTTGCATGGGAACCTCTTGTTGCAGACTGGGACGGAGACCGTATGTCACAAATGTTTGTTCTGAAGTATGGGATTTCATTATGAATCTCCTCTCCATCCCCCTCCCCCCACACACACTTTATTTTTTCTTCTGAAAATAACCTTGCTGTAGTATTATACAGAGGTTATCTTTGATAAAAGCGTTTAAAAATAGTGGTGTTTTTTTTTTAATTAACTGTTTAACTTTATTCTGCTAGCTGCAATAAACATATTGTGCTATCAGGGAAACAGAAACAATTAACAATTAGGCGCTTTTTTGCAGTCACAGTACAGGCATAATTGCTGTCAATTTGATTGAAATCTTGCCTAAGAGATGCTATTGTTGGTGCTTACTTTTTAAACTAGAACCAATAATCTACAATGTCCGTTGAGAGCATTTTGTAATTAAAGGTTTTCTCAGAATCAACTAAAATTTTTCAATTTTTATTTGTGCTGATAGGTTTTGAGAAATATTAATAAATATTTCATAAAAGAACTTCATGATAGGGTGATAGAACTGTGTTTTGAGCATTCTAGGAAGTTCAGAGTAAACTCACTGTGGGATAGACTAAGTCTATTTAGCTTAACACAACCTGATTTATCTGTAGTTTCTATTTTTTAACTCACACACTAGGAACTAAATTCTTATGCTCTGAAGAATTTTAATGACTATAAATCCAGATTGCCTTTTTGCACAATTATAAGCATTCTTAATAATTATATTATTTAAAAAGGCAACAATCTTAGATTCTTTTTTTTAAATCCTAAACTGATTTTTTTTTCAGCAGAATTAGAAGCGCTCTCTGTTTCAAAACTCTGGCATGTCCAGAAGGCATTTGAAGTATCTGAAATTATTAAGCAGCAGCCAAATGTAATCAAAGTCATAGCTTACACGAATGGCAAAAGAAAATCTTTGCTAAAGTTTCTCTGTCCTTAATCCAGTAGCATCTAATAAAAGTTTTCTTGCATGCATTAACTTTCTTTATAGCTTCTGCTTTGAATTCCAATGCAAATCTTTTTTCCTTTAAAGTTACATGAAATTCTTTCTTTTTACACTATTCCTAAAATTTGACATGTTAACAATTCCTATAAGCACTAAATGAAACAAAGCTATGGAAATACAGAAAGGAATAATAGGCAATATTACTTGTCATTAAAGGCAATCCTTTTAAACCAATCCTTTTATGGGTACATATTTTCCTTATCTTGTCTGTATCATAAGATATTATGGCTTCCAGTGATAATCACTTAAATACTAAATGACTCTTAGTGCTGCAGATTGGTAAATTAGTAGAGAATGGATTTCTGATTTCCAATTTTTTTTTTTGTCTGACTAAAAAGGATCATAAAATCAGTATGTTTGTAATCAGTATTCCTTACCTCTTGTATCCATTTAGCTGGAGGAGTGCACTAAAAAGCTGAGTCTGAACATGGCTGCACAATGAGAGTTCTTGGCAGACAGCTCTGAGCACTAGAACCTAAAGACTTACCCCATGATGCCGACGTTTATATTTCACCCGAAGAGACTTTTTTAGATCCATTTAAAAAAAAAGGTAAAGAAAAAAAAAAAAAGAACAACCCAAACAAAAACAAAATGAAGAATCCCCAGCAAATGGCTTAAGGGTTGCAATTAAAAATTATTTTCATTCTGTCTTTTTGCATGGTTTAACAAAACTAATGTTTACTCATTTACAGCTCAGTAAGAGGATAATGTGCTTAATGAAAGAAAAATCTACTGACAGCCACGTTTATTGCCCTTCATTAGCATTGGTACTTAATTTAATATAGATCTGAATAGACATTAGGGAGCCTGCAGGAGGTTAAATGGTGAAAATGTAAAGAGATTATTGAATTTACTGTTTAGTTTCAGTGACATCAAACAGACAAAATTAATTAAGCTTATTCCACTAGTAAAAATAATCCAGAATGTAAGATTGGATTTATTAACATTGCTGTTTATAATTTTTTGAACATTTATTCTGGCAACATAGAATATCTGCTTTATCATGCTGTATTAATTTTACATTTTTCAGTAAGACTATTATTAACAATATTCTTTTCTCCTCATTCCCTTATAAGTCTGCTAATTCCGTTGGTTTTTTTGTTTGTTTGTTTTGTTTTTAATAAGGGAAAAGCTGTTTCTGAATCATTTACATTTTAAACACGAATAAATCTTTGTCATGTTTTAATATCATGAAGTCCATTCTGAGAGTTCTGCAACAAATTTGGGACACCATTTTATAAAATTAAGTAGAGTTTGGCATTAGATTGAAGGTATCGGATTGAAGATATCAACCAGGTATTATATTAGATGATTAATTCAACTGGCATTTGTGTTTAAGAACCATTAATTAATAGAAGTTAATGTATTATTAGAAGCAAAACGTTTATTAGTATAGAGTACGTGTAGGTCTAGTGCAGTGAGAAATGCAAATAAGAAAAATTGTCTAAAGCTAAATGAAAGTGTTCAGTTTGTATAATCTTGTAAGAGTAAAGGTAGATATACTTTTTAAAATGTCAGGAATAGCAAAGAAGAAAATCAGAAGAGCAATAATTCAACTAGTGAGTGTATATTTTATATAGAAGTTCTTTATATATAATGTTCACACTCTTTAAATCCCTTGCAGATTGGAATTATTTAAAGCAGACGACATTTCAGGAAGATATCTATATAGCATTCATAGCTGACTATTTGTCTAAGAAAATGACTACTGTACAGTTCTTTGTACATCCATAAAAATCTAGTATTAATTAGTTGTGCCTTTGTGATCTATGTCCTGTAATTGAAGGGATATGTAAATATTCGTGGAGATATTCAGGGATGAAACTTAGATTAGTAAGCCTGTGTCTTACATCATCAATTTTATATGCTATAAACTCTACTGGTAACATGAAAATTATTCTGATACAGACGACTCATTTTCTAGAATGACTATTGTGAATGGTCTGTATATTCAGATGTAGGTATTTTTACTTATTCTTGAAAAATGTATGATAGAACTGATATTTGCACTCTAAGTATCATTGAGATGATACTGTTATTTCAGTAATTTTGTATGAATATTGCTATAATTTGTTACAAAATCTTCACTGGCCTGCATATAGCTGAACATTATGATAGATTTTTAAATTAATTCTTTATTTTATTTCTTTCATTTTCCTCTCTCAAGCCCAGTTCAAAACAAAAACTTCTGTGCTTTGTCTGCTATCTTTGGCTGTGTTTCACTGTAACATGCACTGCTGTTCTTTTAGCACCAAAATGTTGGCACATGTTACTGAAAATTTCACACCATCTCTTGCTGGATCAGCAAGCTTAACCTACCAAAATCTGGTGTTGTTGAATGGTTTTTGACTGATAATCAATCTTTTTGCTGCTCGACAGTTGTTGCTGGGACACAGACTAGAGCAGGTGGCAGATGTGCCTTGTCTTTTGAGAAAAGAAAGAGTAGGTGAGCTTGGGCACAAAGTAACATATTGTGTGTCCATTAAAAGGGTAAATATAACAGGAAAAAGTCACTGCTGTAAGTAGAAAAACCACCAATATCAGAAATAGGCCTTTTTATATTCCCGTTTACAACTTTAATAGAGCTGGAAAATGACACTAATGTAGAATTCCGCGTGCTCAGAAATCAGAACTGATGTTAAAAGTGTTACTTCTCTAAATAACATCCCATAGTACTTTTTCTGGCTTATATTTTTTGTTATTTATACATAGTATGAGAGTATGAGTCAGAAATATATTTTAAACTAGCTTCAATATATTGAAGATAGATTTCAGAGATGTATAAATATTAGAGAGGCAGACAGTGTGCATTTCATTTTTTTTTTCCCTAGCCCAAGACTAGGAAGAGAGAATAAGGTGGCATAACTTGTCTGTTTGAACGTACTGATTGCTGTATTAAAATTCTTAGTGCATAGACAACAAGTTCGAACTTCACCAGCAAATCCCTTTTGCATGATATACTCCAATATCCCAACCCTGAAAAGTTATCACATGGAAATTAGACTTTTTATACGTACAGTTACACATAAATATTTGCAAAGTCAGCATCTTTGTTGAAAATCTATATTTTAAATATTCAACGAGTCACGAAGTGTGTCAAAGGCATATCATCTTGCACATACTTTCATTGCTTCAAGAGATATAAATACCTAGAATAATTAGAATTCCCAATTATGGCTTTGTCCAGTTGATTTGGGTTTACTCACCTCCTCACCCTTCTTAGATGTGAAAATTTAAGTTCAGATTTGGGTTAAATGAAATAGAATACAGAAATAGTTAACTAATTTTATCATCTGAGATAGAAATTGAAAGCTATCACTTCTGTTGATTTATTAAAATGTTTATAATATATACAAGTGACGTATCAGTTAAAGTGTCATTCCAGTTAGCTAACAAAAAAGAATCAAGTCTCAAGCATTATTAACATATTTTGGAGAGACTATTGTAGAACTTGTATGTTGCAGAACTGTGCCAAAGAGTTAATGCTCTGTGGTATGTTATTATTCCATGTAATTTACATATGATGAACATCTGTGTTCGTATGTAATGATGGTTTATTGGATATATATTGGAGAGCATATACATGTGTCTGTTTGAAGGCATTTGTATGTATAACAGTTGCTGAGCTTAAAAAATATTACATATTCTTATTTATTCTTTTCAATACCTCTTGTTTCTTCTGTCAGCTTTTATTATAACCCCCTTGCGTCTTTGCAATTGAATTTCAGGTGTCTAGTATACTGCTTCATATTTTTCTTCATTAGTTATGAACTTAAAGTGATAATAAGTTCTTTCTATTTAATTTAATTCTAGTAACAATAGCAACCTTGCATAAGAAAATAAATTAGCTATCGCTCTTTCATAAAACGTTTGTGCATTTTATCACTTCTGCTATTGCAGAAAATATGTCCAAGGTATAGGTTTCCATTCAGTATTTTTTTCATTTTCTGTGTTAGCCGTTTACCTTGAACATGCTTGAGAATTACTAAATTGGAGATAAAGGAGTTTTGAATGACCAATTGATTGTGTACTTAGACCTCAGTCAAACCAGTTATACTCAGAACTAATTCACTGTACTACTGAGAGTGATTTCTGTAGGAGCCTTCAGAGAAGTGAAGTTAAGCATTCATATTTTTGTATGTCTATACTGACCAGACATATAGCTCACCTGTGGGTAGTCTCGTTCTATACAATACCCAACTTACCTGTGCTGATCTTAAGCTGAATCACTTTCTAAAGACAGCATTTTGGCCAAAATATTTTTGCTGATGTGCCATGCTCATATATTTTTTGTAAGTCATAGTGACATGACTTCTCTGCTGAAGCATGGCCCACTTTGCAGATCATATAGGTCACTTCATCTAATTAATCCATTTTATTACTAGGGTGTAGGGCATTGATTATGACTTACCTCCAGATCTTGTGCTGTGGATGACTGTATTAAAAGAAGTTTTTTGTGTTCTGTGGCTTTTTCACCACAAGTGAAAATATATTCATATTTTATTACACAGATTGCTATGTTAGTTTGGTGACTGCATTAAAAGATACTATGTCCTGTTCTATTCATTTAGGAGTGTTGGCAAGCATGCTTATATCCTGTTTTTGGTGCAAAGGTAGCAAAATGCAAGAATCAGTCTAGTCATTTTAGTCAAGACATTTACCATAACAGTAAGTTTTATTTTAATGAATGAGATTTTCTTGTCTCAAAATAATTCACCATTATACAGTTTTAAAAATAATGTTTTGAATATGTTTAAACAATGGAAGAACTAAGATAGTGTACTTTATATTCATTTACTATATTTAATAGTGGATGAGTGTACCTTCATTTTAGTTTTTGTTCAACAGTAATTTTTATAAATGTTTTAACCTTGGTTAGCATGATTTAATAATTCTGAGACTGTATTGCTAGTGTCTGTGAGGAGATATAGAAACAATTAGCTCATAAATGACACATTTTTTCAACTTAGCCCATATTCTTCCCTTTAGAGTTATAGTTGTATAATATATATGTTTTCATTGCCGTACTTTAAAAGTAAAACCAAACATAATGAAAATTTTGTTTTTTACTGATACTCTTTGAAAAAGACGCCAGCAAAAAAAGTAGTCCAAGTTTAGTGTTCTTAATGCTGTATTTTGTGTCTGTATTGAAATTAAGATGCATGATTTTTTTTTCCATTAAAGAACATTTAGATGCCTTTTGATCTACAAAATTTAATACTTCACTATGACAAGTTTTAATAACAACAGTGTGTGTGAGTATGTTGAAAACAGGAATTATTTTCTGTAAGAATTAAAGGTCACTGAAATGGGTGATGTTCACAGTTTTAATTATTGATTGATTTGGAAATGTTTTATTTCCAAGCAGCATTCTAAATAACAGTACACTTGCTACAGACTCTTATAACAAGCTCTTTTTCCCATCAAAATGTAAGAACTGAAGTTGTCACACTTAAATTTCAGAAAAAATACATGTCCTCTATGATCTTGAAATTAACACCTTTTATTATAATTTTTCTCATAATTACTGTAAAGTGCAATTATTTAAGTGCAATTTTACTGGATTTTGATCTGAAAA